ATACATTCTTTGAATATGGCTTTATGTAGCAAGATTAAATTAGAAGTAAATATAACCTCTAAGGTCCTTGATCATTTCGTAATTTATTGTGTAAGACGCCACTTGTATAATCTTCACATTTGAAATGCACCAAAACTTTAATGACTACCCTTAATACGTATCTGTAGGAACTTACCCTCGATTGTTTCTCTTTCATTGTGCTAGCCCTTCTTATTTCAGAATATATCTTTTCCAGATGTAGTAGTCAACCTGAAGTGAACAAATTATTCCTAATCTCTTACTTATTAGGCAGAAAATTTACACTTAGTGTTAATTTAGAACGCGACCTAAAGATCAATGCGGACTTAACGCTCAGTGTAGTTGGTGCTTCAGCAAAAATTATAACTCACTTTTAAGTTAGATAATATCTAACTGGATACTCTTTTTCAACTAGGTCGCCATGGTTGGATCATGATTTCCATGATCCTAGATTTCTCATAATCTAGACTGTAGAACTCAAAGTAAGGAAAAACTAATTTCATTATAGCTAAAGAATTGGGCTCTTCCCTTGAGGAATTAACCCAAAATAATAAAAGAGCTCTCAATGTGTCAGGAATTGAATTTCGGCTTAGTTCTAATAGAATGTGTAAGGAATTGAATTTCGGGACGAAATTCTTTCAACCGGGGGAGACCGTGACAATCGTCAAAATTTGAGTCGGTTCTATATTTGACTAAACTTAGTTGCATATATGGGCATGAAACATTCTAGACTTTGTAACTAGAAGTTAAGTTATAACCTAGTAGAAACTTGGAAACAAGTAGAATTATAGGATAGTGTACTTACATTTCACATGGATATGTGAATTCTACCACTACTTAACTGTAACAACTATTCAAATTAGGGTCATTCCTTGACTTGAACACCATTTCATGAATCATATACACACATCATTCATTTGAACTAGTGGTATATATTAGGCCAGAGTCTCGTAGGAACTTAAGTTAAAGTTGAAAACTATGACTAGTATACTTGGTTCCTCCATTTCACTTGAATCTCGGAACCACTACATATAAATGCCAATAAACCGACAAAAAGGAATTACAAACATTATCTATAACTTGAGTAAGAGTTATGAAACTCTAAAATAGTTTGAAGTCTCAAATTTTAATTAATTTTGATATACAAAGACTTATAAACTCCTCAAAACCCTAAAAAGCCCTAAAAACTCAAATTTATAATTTTTAACACCCAAAACTCCATAAAATTTGTTATGAACCACATAATATCAATTTAATATAACTAAATTCAGGAAAATATAATCAATGGAAAATAAAATTTAGATCATTAATATCTATAATCAATGGAAAATAAAATTTAGATCATTAGTATCTAACCTTATTCTATAAGCCCAAAACCCAAGTGTTAAAATCAAATTCTTATTTAAAATGTATATTTTATAAAAAATGAGAGAGGTTTATAAAAATAAGAGGGAAATAATTAAAATGAATAAAAGAACAGAGAATGTCCCTCCTCTCTCACCTAAATTCGTCCATACTCTTCCCAACACGCATAATGAATTTTTCCATCTCCACACTCCACCTTCTCTCATCACTCTCTCATTTCTCACTCACACTCCATCACTTCATCTTCTCTCTCAAACTCATTAATTTTATTCCAGAAAACGAGTCCAAGAACACACCTTAAACTCAAAATCTTCATCATATTGTGGAGTTCTTGAAGGTAAAATCGATTTCTACTTCACTATTCCTTCAAATTTTACTATTTTTATTGGATTTTCTCCTTCTTCTACTCCATTCTAATGAAATATCATGTACACATAAACATACACACACGTACTCATGGTTTTGATGATGATTGTGGTAGGATTTCACCCAAAAACAACATGCATGTTGTAAATGGTGAAATCTCATGACCTAAACGTAAGTAAAAATAAAGGAAATGCACTTTTCTAGAAGTTTTGATGGAAAATCATCACATGCACCCTCATTTTTCTTTCCAAAATGATTTTTGACCATTTAAAACTCATGAATAGCCTTCAAAACAACATGTATGTGATTATCTTCAAGCTTAGATGCCAGATGATTAAAGTTTGTTGTTAAAAGCTTTCAAATAGGTTCATAAAGGATTTATTCCCAAATAAATATATAAAACTTCTTTTCTGGTCCAATCCGATTTTTTCAAGAATTTCACCAATAAAATGAGATGTTCTACAAATTCTCAGAAAATAATTCATTTTTCTCGAATTATTATAATTATTTCAAGAGAATAGGGCAATAATTCATATAAAATACTTTCTGAGGTCTATAAATCCTAGGTAAATTTATGGATGACTCCTAAAGTAAATGATGACATCTCAGTGAGTTTGATCGATTTTGGTTACTGTTGGGTATGGTTTTGAATTTTCTTTTTGTTTAATTCAAATAATTCATAAAACCACTTTAGGGAATGTGAAAAGGCAATCTAAGATTTTTCATAGATCCTACCTCTTGTGAAAGACTCGAAACAATAATTTTAGAATTTTTCATAAAGCATACCTATTATTTCCCGATTTTTGTATCTATAATGTACTAATAATGAGAAAAATAGTTCTACTCATATAAAACTCATGAAAATTCACCATAAGATATTATAATATATTATAACTCTAAATAACAATTTGGATGAAATTCAAGGGAAAATTTCTAGAATACCTCTACTGTATTTGGAACAAAAATGTAAAATTTGATGAATTTTGGAAACTGTTTGATCATATTTTTGGATTTTTAGGAGTTTAAAACACATTTAAATGTGTTGAAATACCCTCAATTAATATTACGAAAACCTAGAGAATAATAGCCAAAATTATCTTAATCACATGAGTTATAAAATATCACCATTTCAGAAAAATTGTTACCCATTTAATATAAACCCAATATTAGAACAAAAATTTGGCATTTCTCTATATGTACAATTTAGTATATTAGCATTAGATTTCGACATAGAGACTCACTAGCATATACCATTATTGTAGGAATTGAGAGTGGTACGAGTGGAACATAGCTCAAGGCACAATTTGCATCATGTCAATGCATTATGAGTATTCACGACTCCCCTATTTTTGGGTTTTAAATGTTTTGGGGTGGAAAAGCATGTCCAAAGACTATTTATTGTTCATTGTATTTAATTTGACTTGTATCAAACTTGGTTGCTATATGTTGTTGTGTATGTGTATGCTATTTTTAATTCATGAGGCCTTATTGCGTTTAAGTCCCTAGAATCTGTTCATACAACTCATTAACTCATTTGAGCCCATGGCCATTATGGATAGCGTTATTAGGAGGTAAACAACTCCTCAGTCGCACGATTTGATCGAGTACATTTTACCATATTTCCCCATGTTAGCGATAGACATAGAAGAGGGCACCCTCGGTCATTAGGCTTGGGTTGTGAACTCATGATATAATCATTATGCACATACGAACCTTGTATCTTGTTTTAGCAACAAACTTTATTTCCCATGAGAATATGAATGTTGCATCTTATTTGGGCAACATACTTTATCTCTCATGATGACAACAAACTTTGTTTATGCATACTTATTTACTCATTTTTTTCAATATATTTCTATTTATGGAAACTCTATTTCCCATGAGAATATGAACGATGCATCTCATTTTGGCAACATACCTTATCTCTCATGATGACGATGAACTTTGTTTATGCAAACTTATTTACTCATTTTTTCAATATATTTCTATCTATAGAATCTTTATTACTCGCTTTCGCAACGAGCTTCTATTCATGAAAACTTATTTACTTATTTTAAAAATGAACATTGTTTATGGAAACACAGTTTTCCAAATCCGACATCCCGTCAAAAGATGTTGTCTACCTTCGAATAGCGCTATCCATAATGGTCATTGGCTCAAATGAGTTAATGAGTTGTGTGAACTAATTCTAGGGACTTCAACGCGATAAGGCCTCATGAATAAGTAAATAAGTTTTCATGAATAGAGTTCGTTGCTAAAGAGAGTAATAAAGTTTCCATAGATAGAAATTTATTACTCACTTTAGCAACAAACTTCTATTCATGAAAACTTATTTACTTATTTTAAAAATGAACAGTGTTTATGGAAACACAGTTTTCCAAATCCGACATCCCGTCAAAAGATGTTGTCTACCTTCGAATAGCGCTATCCATAATGGTCATTGGCTCAAATGAGTTAATGAGTTGTGTGAACTAATTCTAGGGACTTCAACGCGATAAGGCCTCATGAATAAGTAAATAAGTTTTCATGAATAGAGTTCGTTGCTAAAGAGAGTAATAAAGTTTCCATAGATAGAAATTTATTACTCACTTTAGCAACAAACTTCTATTCATGAAAACTTATTTACTTATTTTAAAAATGAACAGTGTTTATGGAAACACAGTTTTCCAAATCCGACATCCCATCAAAAGATGTTGTCTACCTCCTAATAACTATTTTCTGGTATCAAAAGCTTTATGGAAGACTTTCGCTCTTCATCTGAACACAACACAGCATCTGCGAACACAACTATCAACAATCTCGTTTCTTCTCTCCAATCTAAAAAGGATGCTCTTATGAAGGTTCGATCTGAGATTTAAACTGAAAAATATGAGTTTCAAGCATCCATCTCCTCCAAGATTGAAAAACATCAGGTCGATTTGGCTCATGAAAACAAGATAATAGATGAGCTAGCTATTAAAACAGATAGGGTGAAAGTTCTATCAGTAAGGTTAATGCATGCGAATTCCCAAATTGCTGATCTGAAATCCAAGAATACTGTTATTCGAAGTTGTGTTGCTGATGTGAATGCCAATTTGACAGTTTGATCGAGACTTGCAATTCTCTCCTCACTATCTCTGTTCGTTAGCATCTTGCAGAGAAATTCCAATGTATCTTCTCCATGTTAGATAGAATTCAAGGTGTTTTAGAATCTTCTATTCCAACACAAGGGGGAAAAGCACAAAAATAAGCGAAGAAGGTGTCAACTGAAGATGTTAGTTGGTGGTGGTGATGATCAAGAACAAAACCCAAAGTTAAACAGACTAAAGGTTAATGTAGCTTTGAGTTCGAGAGGCAAAGGAAAACTGATTGATGGCAGTGATTTGGAAGAAGAAGATGAAAACGAGAAATTAAGGAGGAAGATTCATCGTGATAAAATAGATGAAAATCTCCGCATTGTCAGGGAAGCTGACGGAAAGAAAGGATTGCTCGTGAAGCCCAACTTGCTTTAGAAGCTCAAAAGATAGTTTATTGGCTAGACCCGGTTGTATCATTCGAATTGGAGAATCATTTGGATTCACAGCTTGATCTACCGATTACTCCGAAGATAGTTTTGGTGTTTTCACGGAGTTGTGAATGTTCCTCTTACTAAAAACGGTGTTGATCAGATGCTCTTTTCATTCTATCTAAAGCATATGAAGCCTCAATACGAAACCTAGAGCTCGAAGAAGATAACTGTTGTAAAGGTTTCGGGCACCATTGAAACTAAAAGCTTTCCGAATGCCCATTTCAAGGTGACACGAGGAGCTGCGAGTTCATTCTTTGAATTTACATTGGTTTATTTGTCGTGCCTAAACCTATATGATTAGATATCTCTGATTCACCTCCTTCTGAAGGATGAACATAAATATGAACCTATCGTGATGTATCTCAAAAGGGTGTCAATCTCGTACATCCAGGAAGTAGAAAAGATGGATGTAGAGATTGCGGCAGTTCTACGAAAGAAGCCGATAGTATTACCCAAGGGAGCTCTAGAAAATTTTGACAAGATGAAGTTGGATATAATAAGAAAGGATGGTTGGTGTATGGCTTTCCAGATACGTGAAAAGTCTGATGTTGAATTTCATAGAGTTTGCTTTTCTTTGGCTGATAAGCATCTATACTCCACCTCTTGCCTAAAATACAATATGGAGTTAATGAATCAGTGTAAAGCGAACAATTCAAGGGACAAGAAATGTTTCTTGAATATGATTAATGGGTATATCCATGTTTGCAAGACCTTGCGCGGAATAATGCTGAAACTTTTTGTAGTTAAGAAGCGCCAACAACAATGAAGATCTACCTTCCTTATTGGCACAAAAGGGGAGATTGTTGGGTTATTTAGTGTTGTGTCAATAATTTTATTGCAGTGCATTAGTCCATCTTTTGTGACAAGATGGCTAGGCCTGTCCACCCGATATTAATGTGTTAGGGTTAGACTATTTATAGTACCTTCATGCACCTTGATTAGTATCGATTGTACTTAACCCTAAACTGCCTTTACAATAGAAGTTCTTTGTCGAGCTCTTCTAAGGCAGTGAATTTTAATCATTCAACACATATTCGATTATTATGTTCTTGTCTTGATTCATATATCTGTTTAGATTCTATCGATCTACAATATTTTTATTCTGTCAAGAGCCGGCAACGTTCAAGACTTATTCAATTGTGTTCAGTCTGTTAGTTGAGTTTTCCTCATTGTACTTGCAGCTCAAATGCACCAAGGTCGGCCCGTTCGTTTGATAACTTGTTATATTGATCGATGATATGTTGAGTATGCGGTAGATCTATATGATCGTATGATATATGATGATAGGCATTAGATTAGTAGATATGTAGGACTACCTGTGAGTACTGGCTGTACGAGTATATGTTTGTTGAGTACATTTGTTATTTGTTATATGTCGAAATGTTATGTTGAGTTTAAGACTAATCTTTGTGCTGTTAGTCAACAGACTGGGGCAATCCAAACATCAAGTTGTGGTCTAGGGCATTCCAACCATAAGGTTGTGGGCCGGGGCATTCCAACTGTAAGGTTGTGGGACACGAGTAATCCAACCAGGAGGTTGTGGACCTGTTATGTATTCGGCATTCCAACTGTAAGGTTGTTGGCCAAGGTATTGTGACCATAAGGTTGTAGGCCAGGGATAATCCAACCAGGAGGTTGTGGAACCGATATCTATTTAATTATATATTTGTGTGGTGGTACTTTGGGGGGAAACTCACTAAGCTTTGGCTTACAATTTTAGTTTATTGTTTCATGTACTTTTGAGGATCGTGGGAAAGTAAAGGCGTGATCGTGCATATCTTCCTGTTTTATGTCACTAGGTCATGGGAAAACTCTACTTTTGAAATAATGTTTTTTTGGGATTATTAGTGTTGTGTCAAATATGTCTTGTATAGGTTTATTTATTCTGAGATGGGCCTGTACATTCTCGTTTTGGTCTATCTAGTCTTAGTCTATATATTGTACCATCTCAAAAATCATGACCAAAAATTTCGTTTTAAAATCATCAATCAACCATAATCAAGTCATACATAACTCCTTATATGAAATCAAGTATCATTTCAAACATATTTATTCTATCAGAGTAAACATCCCAGGCTCAAAACTTCTTGGTGTGTGTCATACGATCATCCCGAGCTCTTGCCTCTGCTACCGGAAGTACCTGAACCTAAGACTAAAAACCGTAAGCATGAAGCTTAGTGAGTTCCCATACTACCACATACTAGACATATAACCACATACTGAGCCCCAGGCTGCTACATCGGGACTTACCCGGCATCGAACTTGCTCCGGCATCAGGCCTCGCCTGACATCAGACCCCGTATGGCATTGATCCCCGCTTGGTATACAAATATGTTTCTCTTAGGCACCACCTGTCTCTAGGATTAGCCCACCATACACAAACAATCACATAAACATGTTAACATATATGCAAACATACCCTACTATATTCCTATCCTAAGCCCTCGCGTAACTTGGGCCTCGCCCCTAACCTGCTACTGATGAGTCATAGAACCCCGTCCACACTACTACTAATAGTGATATATGGGCCCCCTCCCACACTCACTTTTCCCTTATCTCGGGCCCCACCCCTGCTCTACTACTAATGAGATACGTAACCTCGTCCATACTAAACCAATGATGATACGTGGGACCTCGCCCACACTCACCTCCCTACCAGGCACATACCAGTATCACACAGACAACAAGTATAACGAGCATACCAACATTCCTCGGGCTTTCCCCGACATTGGACCTTGGTCCGGAAACATACTACCAACACATGCAAGAATCACAAAGACCTCTAGCATACTAACATACCTCGGTCCCAGCCCGGCATCTGATCGTAATCCGGAACATATATCGTAATAATGCCTAGGGCTAACCCCCGGGTCTTCCTACTATACACCAACATAATGGGTCGACATTGTGGTTGTAGACCCATGCACACAATGAGGAGGCTCACCTTGCACTACTGAAGTCCTGCTAAAAAACCTCCTATGGCTGCTAACTGAAACTTCCCCAACTACTGATCCTTCGGCTCCCCGAGCTATCAATACCAAAATATCACTTAGTCCAAAACAATAACCCTTCATAGGGTAGAATGACCATTCTACCCCTAGGCCAACTTGGTCCATAACTAAGTCCTAAACCATAATGAAAAGGCCCAACACTAGGTACGCTTCCCAAGCCCACTAATGGCTCAATTTGCTAAATCGGGTCCAATCACTCTAATGGGCCTTACCCTAAGCCCAAACATCTTCTTGGCCCACATCATCTGACTTTTGCTGGCCCACTAAGGCCCCAAGTCCAAAGCATGGCCCAACCCAAGGCCCAATAACACGAAGCCCAAACTAACAGAGTATGTGGGTCGTACATTCACATACGCTAAGCGTACTAGCCAATGGTGTGTACGTCGGGCGTACATGCATGTACGCTCAGCGTAATCCCCATGTTAAGTTACTTTCCCATTAAGTGCTTAATACTCTACTCCAAGAGATACAAAGACAGATCCAAGTCCTTTTCCATGACTTAATCCATAAAGTCACTGACTTGGTGACTTAACTTGGCCCAAACAAGCCCAAACTCCCAAAATAATATTCCGCTTCCATAAAGAGGGCTAGATATCATGCATGAACCCATTAAGTCATTCAAGATGGAGACTTTACTGCTTATGGGACCCTTTTAGCTCTGAGGGTGGCAACCCTAAGCTCACAAACGAGATTCATCATAAAGGTCCATTCGTGGGACCAACTGTGACAACCCGAATTTTTCATATGTATAATTTCTACAGTCTAACACTTCATTGAAAGTCAAATTCATTTCTGCCATCATTTAGCACAATTTAAAGTCTGTTTGAGTATTCTGAGCCTAGTACACTTAAGGAACATGTCTTAGAAAGCATCTACTAAAGCCCAACACCAAAATCAAGCCTTTAACTCCATGAGATGGAGGTTACGGCCGTAAACATGGAGTTTACGGCCGTAAACTCACTAGGGCCGTGAACTCTCACCTATAAAGGTGAGCCTTGATCATTTCTAACCCTTTTTCACACTTCCAACCTCAAGAACACCAAGTTTTCTCTCAACTATCGTCACATATTTCTTCAAAATCCGCTAAAAACGTAAGTCTTCCTTCCTAGATTCATTCATACAACACTTAATCTAGTGTTTATACATCTTTTCATCCATGGATTCTTGGTTTTTCTTAGATCTTCAATTGTTCTTCAAGAACACCAAGAGCACACACTAGTGTTTTTGGGTCCTAAGCACTCTTACAAGCCTCCTTTAAGTAAGTATACTCCTCCTAGCTAGTTGTTTGCTTAGTATACTTGAAAATCCATGGACTAAACACCAAAAAAACCCCAAGAACATGGGTTTATGGTTTAGGGATCTACCAAAACCGTAAACACCCCCAAAGGGTGTTTTCATGCCCTAACACCCCCCCCCCCCACCCCCCTAATACTTAGACAAGAGGCTAGAAACCTTGCATGCATGAACTAGAAACACCAAAACACGAAATGGTTTGAGTAACCATTAGTTTACGGCCATAAAATTATGGGTTTACGGCCATAAACTCTCAAAGGTGGTCCAAGGATCGTAAACTCCAAAAGGTGTGCCATTTCAAGCCCTAACCACTTCCTAAGCCTTTGATTCAACCCTAGGACACTTCTTTGTGAAGCATGGGACCTTGAAGCACTCAAAAACACCATTCTCATGAGTTTACGACCATAAACTCATGGGGGAAATGGTCCCTCAACCGTAAACACATATAGGGTGACCATTTGAGGTGTAAACTCCATAGTGAGACCATACACACCTTTGATGCAACCTGTAGCACTCCTAGCACTCGAAGCAAAGTGTTTTCATGCATTAGAGTGTCTTTACTTACTAAATTAGTAATTAAATAACTAATTGGATACAATTATGTATCACTACATGTTACATAGAATCAGGGTGTGTGTTCAAGTCCTCACTTGACACCTAGCATCCTACTTGGCACTTCCACCAAATTCGCACACTGCATGTGAGTTCATACCCCTTAATCAACCTTTTAAATGTTTTTAAATGCTTTTATGGGGGGAATACAAGTTAAATCAAACGAGTTAGAGTATCAAGAACATGTGATTTATAGCTTGCAACCAAAAAGGATTTTCTATACTTTTAACAACTTTGCCAACAAAATTGTTTTAAATATTTATCAAACTCATTTTTCATGTTAAATTGTTATAAAACTATTTCCAAATCTTTTAAACTTCTTTTTTTCCCAACCATATCTACACTAATATATTTATATAAGTAAGACTTGAAGGACTTAGAACTGATAACTCACCTTACTTCCTGTTCTTGTTTGATTGTGGACTTAGGGTATTCTGTTATTTGTCCGAGTGTCGTTGAATTCTTAGTTATATATTATATATATTTGTGTTAGATATAAAAGTCTTCACTTTAGGTCAATACCTTTGTGTATCAAAGGCATGCAGCTAACATTTCTATTTAATTATAATAGGTATAGTTAAGGATTACCGCTCATTACTATTATTAACATGGCACGTATTATAGTTAGTACAGTTATGATTCTATACATGCTAAATACTATGAGAAAAGAATATTATGTACTATATAAGAGAACACTCAATACGTTATACCAAGAAGTACATTATACTCTAATACAAGAGAATATACCAAAATAGAATGTGACATACTACTTCTCGATACGACACTTCACTGTGCGATCACCGTGTAACAAAAGTCTCTTGGAGGGAGAGCGGGCATTATGTGTATAGAC